GCGGCCGCCCCGCCCCCAGCGCGCTGCCTGGAGTCCAGGTCCGCCTCGATCCCGGCATGCACTGCACTCCAGCCTCTTCCGTGCTCGCGGTGACTTTTCACTTTCCGCTTTCCCCGCCTCCGTTTTGGCCTCTCAACCGAACTACCCCGTACAGCTGACTGACGGGAAGAAGAGCCAATAGACATTCGAAGTGGCCAAGCCGAGTCGGCTGCTCAGCCAATGGCGTGAAAGCAGTGAGATCCTCGGTGCAGTGAGAGCTGGAACTGGTGTAGTGGAATTGCAGAGGCGATCAGGGGGTCCTTAGACGACATCAGTCATGGTGAGATGGGACAAGGAAAGGGGGCAGCGGGTAGGAGTTCAGATACAGGGAGGGGATACGGCCAGGCTGCGGGGCGGAGAGGGCCTGGCGTTCGATAGACTGAAGAGGCTTCAATTCGAAGGGAGCGGACCGTGGGGAGGACCGTGAGTGCGGCTCCAGGCTGCTACGCGGGGCCCATCTCAAGCGGGAGATGAGTGAAGAGCGGGGCGCGCAGCAGCAGCCTTTGGCCCCTGACGCTGAGCCTCCCCGCTTTGTGTGCCCAGTCTATTATGTCCTATAACGGAGGGGCCGTCATGGCCATGAAGGGGAAGAACTGTGTGGCCATTGCCGCAGACAAGCGCTTCGGGATCCAGGCTCAGATGGTGACTACGGACTTCCAGAAGATCTTCCCCATGGGGGACCGGCTGTACATCGGCCTGGCCGGACTCGCTACCGATGTCCAGACAGTGTAAGTGCCAGGGGTCCCCGCCCACTCTCGGGCCTCCTCTCGGGCCAGCCTTGCCAGGCACCTGGACGCCGTAGGTGTCAGTCACCTACCAAACACTGCCCGTGAGTCTGAGCCTGCCAGATGCACTGTCAGGGACACCAAGTTGTGCCCCATCCAAACTTGAGTCTTCCGGGCGTTCCCAGATTGCCGTCCCACTTTACGGTTGGGGAAACCTAGGGTGTTGGAGCAAACCACGCCCAAGATGCCTGTTAATGAGTATTGGCTGGGACCCGAGCAGATCTCTTCAATACTAAGTCTGTGCTCGGTCCTAACGGATTTGGGGATATGGGGTCAAGTCGGCGGGAAGCCAGGCTGGAGGTGTGGCGGGGCAAGCCCTGCTGGGTCAGTTGTCTGCTTGACAATGGCCCTGTGGTTTGAGAGGAGGGAGAGCCAGGAGCTGAAGCACGTAGTTATCGTGATGGTCTTAAGTGTTAAGTTATGGTCACAGTGGAGTGACAGTGGTCAGAAAGTAAGGGATTTTTTGTTTTTTGTACTGGAAATTGAACCCAGGGTCTTCACACTGAGCTGCATTCCCAGTGGCCCCCTCCCCATCCCTTTTGAGACAGAATCCTCATTCATAAATTGCCCAGGCTGCGGTGGAACTTGAGGTCTCCCTGCCTCGGCCTCCCAGAGTGCTGGGATTACAGGCCTGTGCCACCACGCCTGGCTAGAAGGGATTTCTGAGAGTTGTTGTTGACCAGCCTTAGCGGCTGCTTTGGTACTGTGAGGCCAAAGAAGGACTCATTCACCGAGGTCCAGGCCTGGGTCTTTCCTTTTTTTCCCCTGGCGCTGGGGATGGAGCCCTGGGGCGCTCGAGTGTGGTGCTCGTCCTCTTACGCTTGCAGCCCCCGCCCCCAGTCTTTCTTCTCTTGCAGTCAGCCCCTGTATGCAAAGGTCCTCTGTCCTCAGATGCAACCAGTCTTGCAGGGAAAATACTGCTGGTTGGCTGGGGTGCAGCTCGGTGGCCTAGCATGTGGGAAGGGCCCTTGGCTTCAGTCCCCAGTACCAGGGGGGAAAAAGCAAAAAAGAAGGAAAGAAGCCGGGCGTGGTGGCGCACACCTGTAATCCCAGCACTCGGGAGGCTGAGGCAGGAGGATTGCTGGGAGTTCGAGACCAGCCAGGGCTGCATAGTGAGTTCCAGGTCAGT